TGCAGGACAACACAGAGCTAGGGCTCGGGAGAATGTGCCAACCAAAACTGTTCCAGAATCAACTCAGATAAAACGCATCAGTCCTTTGAGAATCGCTGCTAGAAGACAAAGAGAACTCATGGCAGTTATTGCCAGAATAGAAAATGCACATTCAGAGGATGTTGAGGGGCTAGATGAGGATGAAGTTGATCTGTCTGCAATTATCCTTCCAGGAAACGCTGATGGTGAAAGATTGATGCCAGTCGTAACTATGGATGAACACTTACTTCACCATGGATGGATGATGTCCAGTGAATATTTTTGAATTAAACATAATTCACAGGTCCATAATAAACAGATTCAATATAGTACAAGAGTTTGTCACAATTTGTCAAGCTAGTCTTTTTTTTAGTCAAATTGATTTGTTTCCTTTTTATTATTTAATCACTGGGTGAGGTCAAGTTTTGCTAATCTACTTCTTATCCTGTGTAAAAAGATTGCATAATCGGAAATTATCGAAAACTTGACTTCACCTTTTGTAAATGAAAAAGCATCAGATAATTGATGTGTATTATATAATTGTCTAGTTTATTTTTTGCACTTTTTGTTTTCAAATTTAATCTAGATTGGGTTACTGCTTCAATGAATAACAGACAACTGTTGACAATTAACTATTCTATTAAAGTAATTTTAATAATGTGCTAGTTCTTTTAAGTGGAAATTTTATATTTTAATACAGTTAATAGTGAAGTGTGTTTTAGGTTAAATTTTTATTAGGTGTTAATTTTTTAAAAATTTTGTTCGAAAGTGTGACGTAATTTAGGGGGGGGTCCGAGATTTGTGACAGTTTGTGACAGGGGGGAGGGGGGTAAAATGGTAAAAAAATAGCGTGACATACTTTATGGACGGCTCCCATACTGGCGTTTGTTTTTTTTTGATAAAAAGCTAAATGATATTAAATTTTTATTGCATTTTCTAGGGTGATATATATTGTAATTAACATTGAAGTTCAAATCAATTTGTAGAGATCATTGAAATTCTATTATCAATTTTTTGGCCAAACAATGTTGACATACTGATAAACTATATACAATCGCATAAACAAGTTTTATATTTTAATGAAAAGCAAATAAATTGCATGATCATGTAAATTATATAAAACAAAATGTTTGACTTAAACATAAATGTTTAAAAATGATTCATTTAGCCTACTCACATTTCACATGAGTTGAAATATTGGTCAATGAAGTCTGTGGCATGAACCAAAAGTTCCTCCTGTGATCTAGGGACCCCAGGGGGCCTATGGGCCTGTTGGGACATAAGTGAGCCCATGCATCGCTGGGTGTTGCAAGGAACTGGCTGAAAATTATTTTTGTAAATCGAGTTAGGGTGACATCTATATTCTTTGAAATATAAAAAAAATAACCTGGGCTAATTACAATGAGCTTTTAGGTGGCGCCCTCTGTGGATAAATCCAGAAGAAATTATCCAACAATTGAAGAACTCTCTTCTGAACTTAGATTTCATCAACGGCGTGTGCTAGTTTTAAAATACATTGTTGAAGTACATTTTAAAATACCTTAATTTTTTACCACAGTAATTATTTTATTTACCGAAAATGTCCTCTGGTGAAGCGTGTCCACATAAGTCTTATCATTCCGGAAGTTTTTCAACTTGGCATTTCGGTACGGGCAAGCCATGTTTAAAAACTGCCTAAACACTGTCGATTTTCTTTACGTTAAGGTCTGAAAGAGTGTCAGAAAGCAGAAGTCTCGCCTTTAAGCCGAAGAGTGTTTCTATGGCACACAAAGTCTTCCTATGGCACAATTTCTCTATAGCTGACAAAAGGTCTCAAACCAACGGATATCAGGCTCCTGCAATTGATTGTTGATTATTGCAACAGGTAGCTGGTTCTTCCAACAGGTAGCTGGTTCTTCCAACAGGTAGCTGGTTCTTCCAACAGGTAGCTGGTTCTTCCAACAGACAGCTGGTTCTTCCAACAGGTAGCTGGTCACTGCAACAGACAGCTGGTTCTTCCAACAGACAGCTGGTCACTGCAACAGACAGCTGGTCACTGCAACAGACAGCTGGTCACTGCAACAGACAGCTGGTCACTGCAACAGACAGCTGGTCACTGCAACAGACAGCTGGTCACTGCAACAGACAGCGGGTCACTGCAACAGACAGCGGGTCACTGCAACAGACAGCGGGTCACTGCAACAGGTAGCTGCCAATGATATATAACTCAACTGCTAGCTGACTCCAGGAGTGTGCTTATTCTATAATAGAGAGATATGTTTAAGATTAAATTATAATCTTTGACATTCAAGGATACTAAAGTGAAATGAAGCTATCAATTAAATACAGACAATGGATGTCAGACAATGGGTGTGCCATAGAGACAATGGGTGTGCCATACAGACAATGGGTGTGCCATACAGACAATGTGTGCGCCATACAGACAATGGGTGCGCCATACAATGGTTGTGCCATACAGACAATTGGTGTGTCGTACAGACAATGGGTGTGTCATCTGAAGGTATTATTCTGTTGTCATAAATGGAATAGTGTCTTGTGAACTTTTTGCTTATCTTATTAGAACTTAACACTTGACCATGCGTATGCTAGCTTCAATTTTAAAAAAAAGCAATATGCTTCTCTCATTAGAACTGGCCACATGATCGAGCACAAGACCATGCATGAGCACCAATTAAAAAAACAGTATGCCTTATTTTATTAGAACATGAGATGACAGCCTTGCCCGCTGTATGAGGCCGGACACCACTGTATTAAAGACATTACATCCACCAGTCGGGTTTAGAGAATGAGTAAACTACCGTA